GGGGGGGGGGGGGGGGGGGGGGGGGGGGGGGGGGGGTGCAAAGAAAAAAATACATACCCAAGAACAGTTAACAGTGAAAAAGAATCAAGTTTTTCCGAAGAGGACAAACGATTTCACTCACTCTGCCTTGAAGATATCTGCCGCAGGGTGGTGCTGGATGGAGAACAGAACGTCGTTCGCAAGGTACAGCACGTGGATCACTTTGTCGCAGGCCTAAGCATCCCATCCCACAAAAAATAACGGGTTGTTGAAAGGCGGCGGCAGGGGGGGGGCGTACAGAAACGGCACAAACGGCAAAAAGTAGAGGACGACGGGGATTGAGTAACAAAATTTTACAACATGGACCATGATGTCGCCTCTGTGACTTCCGTCAGAGGAACAAAACGGCAGCGGGAGGGAGGGGTACTAGAAGCAGAGAACGGCATGCGCTACTACAGAACAAAGTAGGGCAAATGTGGAAGTGAAGCGTGCCTCGTTGCCAACCCTCACCCGGCATTTCGAGGGGTGTGGGAATAGAGCTTTGCCAAAACTTGTTGGGCTGTATCGTGGAAGCTGAGCCTTCCCAACCCCACGGAAGGACTATTCTCGGGGGGTGACTGCTGTGGGTACAGCATTCTGTGTCTTTCTGTTCTTTTCATCGCCTCTAAGGCTGATGATTGCGGGTCGTTCGTAGCATCATACGTGGCCTGTGGCTATGGAAGGTACTCGAGAACATGAGGTACATGCCGGAGAAGACCTCGAATCCGAACGCAACATGTTGTGAAAGTAGTTGTAAACAACAGAAACAGCTACGCAATTTACCATACTGATTTTTTCCAATTTGTGACATGTCTCTCGTGCAAACACGCTTCCTACTCGTCCCAGAATAACCAAATAAACAAACTCCAGACGCACCGCATCCCTATGAACAGAAACAAAAACAAGTTGTACGCACGTGCGCTAGGACGCACGCAACTACTTGGTGAACAAGAAGAAAGCGAGGAAAGAAATAGAGAGAACTTGAAAGGGTAGAGACAAGCGAGTACAACGGGGTGCAAGGTGAACGCGTGAAAAACAATGGGGGATGGGGGGAGGAAACGTGCACGGGAACGAAACCTAAGGGTCATGCGCATAACAATCCGTGCATGATGAAAAACGTATTGTGCCAAGGGATTCATCCGATCGCGCTTGCACTACACCAGACTGTTCCCATCCAGAAAATTTTGAGGAAAGAAAAAATACCCCATCTGTGTCACGAAGGCTCACTGGCCTTCACTGAGGCCGCCTCTCTCCATGCGGCTCAATGCGGCGCCTTCAAATACAGGGACATCACGATTACACTGAGACTACCAACGCGCCACTCTGGTGGAATGACAGACCTCTCCTCTAGAGAGGCTTGCGTGCCATGCCTGACTACTCCTGAGCAGTCGGCTTCAAAAGGCTTTTTTGTACGAGAAAAACACGTTGGAAAAACATGTGCAACTGGGGGGAGTTGGGTTGGTAAGGTGGCGTACCCTACCTCTCCCTGTTCTGTTTCCTCAAAATCTCGGTCGGCCTTGTAGGTACATGTACCTTGCTTCGAGGAAGAGCCTTAGGGCCCTCCCCCCCCGCCGCCACCTCGGTCTCCTTCGCGAAGACCCTCAGCCGCCAGGCGATGTTGACCGCGTAGTGGCCCAGCCTAGACACCACCCAGTCCTTGCTCGCCTGGATGGAGTCCTGCGACCCGACCAGCTGCTTCAGGAGGAGCTCGAACTGCGCGTATGGCGGACCGCAACAAACCAGTTTCGGATATTGTAGATGGTATCACTATTTTCAACAATCACAACATAATTGAACAAACTCTTCTCTATCCACGGCCAGTAAGATTCCAGGAAAACGTGATGAAATTATTTCATCCAAGTTTGCTTTCAGGAAAAGCGCGAACTGCGTGTTTCGAATCGCTACAAACAATTTTCGGAGCTCCTGTTTTTTTTTCTGAACGTCGAAAAGAACACAGGCCCTTTGACTGTGGCAAAATATCTTGACTGGGCAGTCTTTCTGTGTGATTGTATGAAAACACATCCTCTAAAACTCACGACGGAAACAACGCTACTGGTGTATCATGCAGCAGAGCTATCACCGCAAAAACAAACGGAATCTGTTGTGTTTTCCGGCTCCCAACGACGCCAATCAATTCACCCCGACTCCTCTCCCGCCTCTCGCCATGCTGCAGCAGCAGCAGCAGCAGCACCTACAAAACGCGTGTTGTAATATTTTATGGAGGCCTTGTTTTGCGGCTACGTGCACAACTCACCTGCTGCTCGTTTTGCGCGTCGAGAGCGAGGTTAGCCCCCGGCACCATCTCCCCGGCGGCAACCATCCTCTGTATCGCCAGCTCCTTCGCCTGCTTCTCCATCAGCTTGTGGTGGTGATACAACTGGTGTTCATACAGTACACGAAAAGCCACGCATGAAAAAAAAAACACGCGTGTTGTTGTTCAGAGGGTCTCAATGCTCCTTTGCATGCTTCTCCATCAGCTTGAGGCGATGATACAATACAACTTGCTCATACGCGAAGACCACGAAACGGCGTGTTGTTGAGGGGTTTTCGATGCTCCGCATGTCGACGTCACTATACAACAACACAGCAATAAAGCACGGGATGCACAAAAACACGCGTGTTGTTGTTCAGAGGGCCTCGATGCTCCTGATGTCGATGTCACTGCTACCTCTCCTTGGGCAGCCACCCTTGCCCACAACCGAAAGACAACGAGAAATCGTTACTCCTGATCCCCACTTCGCTCTTGATGTCATCCCGGAAAAAAAAAAAAAAAAACGGGGGATTTCTGGCTGACTGGTAGAGTAGGATGTCCGGGTCTATTCCACTCACCCCTATCTGAGCATGGCGCTGTTCCGGAGAGAAACCCATCCTCGCGCAGTGCAACGACCATTTGTAGTACCTGAGCCGCACATTCGAGTCGGGAACCGAAAACTCGTTAGCGTGAATGAAGGGTTTGGCACAACGAAGGCGTGCGCGGGGTCGCGAATCCCCTACTAGACAAGGCGCCGCGCCAACGCAAACACGAGATCATCCGCACCCCAACTCGGAACACAACTGCCGGGGAAATAAAAGAAGCCGAAAGCAAACAGACTATTAATAATAGTCAGTGCTGACTATTAGTCTTATGGGTTGAATTCGGCTTCTGAAGATCGCAAGCGTGGCGCCAAACCACAAAACAAAAAAACGCGTGCGGGTGGACGGAAAAAAAGGTGCACAGGTATGGCAGCACGAATGCCAAAGCCACAGACACACACGCATGCGAATGTACAGACAAGGGTACGGATATGCAGAACGAACCCCAAAGCCACAAAAGACACAGATGAAGTCACTCGCTTAGCTCCCTCGCCAAACAAAAATCATACACACCACGGCTCGGAACACAACAACAAGAGCGAGGTCGTAACAAAAAATCAAGATGCGGATGGGCAACATAAAGGCACATGAATGCAGACCGAACGCCGAAGGCAATGACACACTCATTCGTGGAGCTCCCCCGTGAAAACAAAATATATATACGCGCCACAAATCGGACCACACAGTGCAGGAGACAGCAAGCGCGGCGCCACGAAACAAAAACATGTGGATCGACAAGAACAATAGCTAGATAGGCAGAAAGATCACCAAACACAACCGACCCACGCATGCGCATGCGGACGGACAGACGAAAGGTACAGATGTACAGACAGACACAACGAACACCAGCGAGACAATACATACTCATGGAGCTCCCCCGCGAAGATGAACGACAGCATCTTGTTGTCCTTCTCCCGCTCCCGCACGATGTCTTCGAAGCCGCCGCCATTGCGGGCCACGTACGCCGCCATCTTGTCGACTTTCTCCGCGTCCCTGCCGAGGACCCCACAAAGACGTTCGACGGACGTCAGCCAGACAAAAAAGAACAAGGAAAAAAAAAAAGCCCCAAAAAAGCTGCACGTGCTTGTCACCTACCTCGTAGCGTATCCATCAATACTGCGGAGGCATCGTAGAAGTGATTTACTTCTTCGCATTTTCCCATCACCGTGCCACTATCACTGAAGAAAACCCCGCATGCATGCGACCGAAAAAAACGTGCATGCGTGCTTATGTGCTCATCAATCCGCTAAGCATTTCATCCCGAGGATACCATGTAATTGTCCCACCAGCAGTAGCACCCCCCCGCCCCTTCCCGAACTCACTTAGGATCCGTCGGCGGCATCGTCGGGATAACCCCGGGGGGCGGCTGCACAAAGCCCTGCGGTTGCTGCTGTTGCTGCTGCGGCTGCATGGGCATCTGCTGAGGCACCGGCTGCTGGCCCCACATCTTTGGCGCCGCCAACAACGAGGGTTGACGCACGCGGTAACACTTGGCTTGCGGAATAAAATACAACACCATGGTAACAACCAGCTGCACTGCTATCGGTGGTTGCCCTTAGACCAGTGTTCCGAGGGCAGCAGAGATGGTGGATGGACTTGTGCGGCTCTGTGAAGAGCTGAATAACATCGTGTCAAACCATAATCGAAAATACTTTTTGACACACATTCTCTGGAGTGGAGGGAACTTTCAGCACGCACGCACGCAAGCACGCACGAAAAAGAGGAGAACCGCAAAGCAACACCACACAGCAGATGCAGTGTTTTTTTGCCGTTTATTGGTGCGGCGAAAAAGTCTTATCGGCCTGCCAGGCCTACAACAATTTCAACGATGGCGTTACAAAATACAGCGCACTATTGCAATACAACAAACATCTCTCAACACGCAAAGGTCAAGGCCACAGAACCAAAAATTGTTGAGAGCCACGTCCGACTACACTTGAAGCAACGCCAGACCGGACTCTGCCGCACTTGTGTAATACACAGGCCTGTGCGCATACTTTATTTTTTTACATATTCAGGCAACAACGAAGACACAGAACGCGACTCCTATCGACACAAATCGAAAAAAGGGGGGGGGGCGACGAAGCTCGGCATAGAGAAGAAAAAAACGCCGAGACATGCGGGAAGAAGTAGCATACGGGAGAACAACGCCTGCGGAAAGATTGTGCCCCGAGGTTTGATTGACACCACGCTATTTCCACGCACCTGCTGAGGAGGGGGAGCGGCGTAACCGGGCTGCTGCTGCTGCGGGTGCGGCGCCAGCACCACGCCCGGCAGCGGGGCCGCGGCGGCGGCGTGCGTAGCGGTAGCGGCGGCCACGGGGTAACCTCTGGGAACAGCGGCCGGCAGCATGACAACGGGGGGGGCAGCTTGGCGCTGCTGCTGCTGCTGCTGCGCGGGCACAGCAGCGACCGGATGTTGTTGCTGTTGCTGTTGAGGGTATCCCTGTTGCTGCTGCTGCTGTTGCTGCTGCTGCTGCTGGGGGTAGGCCGCGTAGCCGGTGGGGGGTGCGTACCCCTGTGCCTGCCGCCGACAACACGACGGCGGAAAACAATCGTTGGCAGGAAGGAGCATGAACATCCGCCCGCCGAAAAACGACACCGCCGCCAACGTCATTTCGTGCACGGACACGAAAAAAAAAACGCCACCGACATCGACAACAACCAAAAACCAGCAATTCGCAGGGACAACGGTATCGCAACAACAATGGACATCGCTAGGGGGGGGAGCCGCCGATAGGAAGGAGCAAACACGTTGGTGAGTTTCATGCGCTTACCTGGTAGGCGACCGGGGCAGCCGCCACAGCCGGCTGGTGCTGGTGCTGGTGCTGGTGCTGGTGCTGCAAGTACGTTCCCTGTTGCTGCTGCTGCACCACCGGCGGAGGGGGGTGAGACAAGCCGTGCGGGGTCGCGTACACGGGAGCCGCCTTCAGGGCGCGCAGGAGATGGGGGGNNNNGGGGGGCAAGGGACCCTTAGGGATCAGTGTAACCGTGTAACCGAGGAGGTTCGCGGAGGCAAAATGCTGGTGTGCATTGAGCATGTTTCGAAAGGATTTGCTGCGGCTGTTGTGGGACGATGCCTGGATCTCGGGGGAGGCAACACCGGTACATGCGTGTACGTACGTATCCGGGGAAGCATACTGCTGCTGCATGTAGGCATATCGCCACCGCTGCTTCACAGCACTTGTGGAAAGCAGGCAACGGCAAAAGCGCGTGCGTCACCCCCGATGACTGCTAATGCGTCCAAGAAGACAAGGCACGAACGAACCGGCCTGTTGCATTCCAAGCACCTGTATCCAGTAGTCGTTCACCTGTTCCGACAGCAACCATCACCGTTCACCAGCCCAGCTATGCTTGTCACGGTTGCTCGAGAGCGCAACAAAACACTGGGGTTTCCACCGCGTTGTTTCAATCAAGCGTAGTCCCCGCTGCGAGTCTAACTCGCCCCCCCTCGCAATGGAGGGGGGTTCGTTACCCCAAACCCTATCCCTCAAAACCCAATCCCGTACCCCCCAACGAAACCAAGCTTTTATGTCCTGGCGACGGCTACTGGTCAAGATTCACCCTGGCTGCACACCACCCGGCACCGGCACCGCTGCCGAGCCCGCCGGCAACACATACAAAACAACCAAACTCTCACAAGCAAGCCCATCACGCACGTGATTGAAAAGGAATTCACGAGCGCAAGACGTTGGGGGATTGAACACAAGTTGTTCTGACGCTGGCTCTATATTGACACTTGAATCAAGTGTGAAAAGGAAAGCAACCTTCCCGCCGTTTAGGTTCTATGCACTCTGCTGTTCTCAGTAGAGTACACCATGAAGAGGCGTGTTGCACAGGTTTGCTACTGGAGCTGAAGTATCGAAGGTCGCGGCAGCCTCTAAAATCAGTCCGTAATCTGCGCTTGAACCCAACATTAGTCAAAGCCGTGCTCAGCGCCACGGACCGCAATCCCCAAAACGGAGGGTCCTCAGCAGTAGCTAGTGGCATCAGCTACTTCAGCCAACCCGCAGCTCAGGAGATTGGGGTGAGTGGCGGCGAGCACAAGCAGTACAAGACACTGGGTGTTGCTCTAATTGCGGAGATTTGCAGACATTGTAGGCCGCTACGATGACCCTCGATATCACCACCGAACAAGCAGATTTGAGCGCGCTACACCGCGGCCAAAGGGTGTCCTCTAGGCTGTCCTCTAGTGATACCACTGAAATGCGTAGAACCTAGTGCAAGACCGACCTTGTTTGAGCGCCTCCCGCTTTGACTCTATTGACTTGAGTTTGGAATACAGTAGTGTGATATTTATCACAACTTCAAAGGCGGCGTGTGGAGGTGGACGAGTGAAATGTACGTTGAGAGCAGCCTCTTCTGCCGCCCTGTGCGAGAGCGATCAACAATTCCTGGTATTCGCGATGCCTCCTGACAGGTCTTGTGTGTCTCTTGTGCATTTTTCTGGTGCTCTTAAGTTTATAGATAAACTTCAACCATCAAAACTCTATTTGCTATCATCCCTTAATGTTCGTTAACGTTAACGTTAACATTCCTCACCGAAAGTGCCGTCGGGGCCACCCCGCCAGTAGCAACCCCTGGCGCAACCTTGGCCACTCCCGGCACCGCCGACCCGACCACGTCCATGGCCGCTTGCCCCGGCTGCTGCTGCTGCTGCGCCGCGGCAACAACACCCCCCCCAAGGGCGACAGGCGGCGCGGCCGGCGTCGCCCCTAGCAACGGCGCCTGCGTCGGCCACGTGAGGTGAAAATGTTGGGGTAGTTGAGCGGCAATTTCGAGAGAGCGGTGGTTGCGACGGTCGTTGCACCCCCAAATATTAGGTATCTAGGAGATGCGCTTGGAATAACAGGGGCTGCAAGCGCATGGCTATGCTTGCCCCCTGTGTGATTGTTCTCGCAGCACAGATTGTTTGCATAAGTGGTCAGAATAGGGTCCTATTGAAAACCTTTACAGTAATGCCCCCCACCCCCGAATGGCTATATCGCCAGAAATGGTTACGCCGCTCGCTTTTTACCTGTCGCTGCTGCTGCTGCTGCTGTGGCTGGACTCCTCCTAGGTACACCGTCTGCCGTTGTTGATGCTGCTGGGGCTGCTGCTGCTGCGGCGGCGGTTGCTGCTGCTGTTGCTGGTGCCCTGCGTACTGCGGATGTTGCTGCTGTTGCTGCTGCGGTTGTTGCAGCTGTTGCTGTTGCTGTTGCTGTTGTGGTTGTTGTTGTGGCTGTTGCTGTTGTTGTTGCTGTTGCTGCTGCTGCTGTTGCTGTTGCTGTTGCTGCTGCTGCTGCTGCTGCTGCTGCTGCTGCTGTCGCTGCCGCTGTTGGTACTCCTGGTATTGATTCCACTGCTGCTGTTGTTGTTGCCATTGCTGATATTGCACCTGGTACTGCCGCCAAGCGAGCTGCAACAAACGCCGGGAAAACGCGTGATGTTAGGGAAAGGGAGACAACCAAAGCCCTGAAAAAAGACAGCGGCGTGGACTCACACCGAAAACAATGAAGCCGAGACACGCACATGCATCGAAACAGCAAGCATGATACACGAGGCCGCGTGTGCACGTGGCAAGGCCGCCGTCTTTCCCGACAAAACCTTAACCGATAGATTGTCACAACAGCGACATATTCACGCGTTCGAGTGACGAAATTTCATGGAATGAATGCCCCGCAGGCGTGGTTTCAAGCCAAACTTGGGCATGGGTTTGCCTGCACCAAGCGTCGAAGCAGGGGGAACACCCGCAAAAAGTACTTATCGCAGGCCTTTGCAGGGAGTTCTCCCATATGAGCAAACTACAAGGACAAACCACGAGCCACACAGCAACAAAAACAACAGGGGGCAGCATCACCAACAACAAACTCGGTGTGCACAGCATACGTAGTTCGAGTCAATGTTTTTAGTGTTTTGTGCTTCATGAAATCGAAACCAAACGCTCGATAAAGCATCAACGGGCAAGGCACACAGACACACACACACATCCACACCTGCTGGGCGGCATCAAGCCCGGCGGGAGCTGCTTGCGGCGCTGCCATCGCCGCCGCCCCCGTCCCAGGCGCTGGTGCCGCCGGCGCCGCCACAGCAGGACCCCCCGCTGCCGCCGCTGCCGCCGGCGCCGCCTGCGTTGTCGCCGTAAACCCCGTGCTGGCAGAAGCAGAAGAAGCAGGGGCGGCAGCAGCCGGAGCGGCGGCGGCGGTGGCGCCAGGGTATGGGTACGCAGCTGGTGGCGCAGCAGCAGAAGGCGGTTCTGTTGCTGCTGCTGCCACTCCGGGTTGTTGCTGCCATTGGCCCTGCTGAGGGGCAGCGGTACCGGGGGCGGCAGCGGCAGTGGCGTTTGGTGTCGTGGCGGGGGTGGTTGCGGCCGCGGTTGACGCCGCCGCCGCCGCCGCGTCCTTCAAGGCCTGCGCCTCGGCGATCCGGCGCTGGAACTCCGCCGGGTCCATGCTTTTCTTCGCGGCAACCCTAAAATCTTCCCGCCGCCTGCCGCCGCTGTCGCCGCCGCTGATTGCTGTGGAATGTATGTGTAAGCGCGGCACACCGTTCATTTCAAGCGATGCAGCAAATCATCATTGCGCATAAGACTTGTAGCACGGCAGAAGGGGTTGGGTGAGGCGTGCGCACGTGCATACAGCGAGCGGTACACGAAACAAGAGTCATTGCCGTGAGCTTGCGCACGGTGAACACTTTCAGGCATTATGTTCGAGAAAACTCAACAAATACATCTGAGAGCAGAGGACAAGTGGAAGTGTTGGGTTCGGGCGCTTCAGAAAGTCCCTCCCGCTTCGACTACGCACGGTGTTGCTGTTCACGGCGAATTTACAAAAGCACATGCGTTTGACCCCCTCACTTATAAATGGCCTACCCGTGTTACGACACAAGATAACACACCGTTGTGACAACCGTTGTGACAATATGGCGGCTTCCAAAGCTTGTAATCACCCGCTATGCTACCTGTGTGGATGTATGTGGCATCCAAATGCCACCTTAATTCTTGCATCTCGATATGGGAGTAGATTAACAAGTCGGGCTCATGATGACAGATACCATAACATAGAGGTACAGTAGATTCACAACCATGTGTGGTAAGCGGGGGAAGGTGTTATCTTACGTACCCGGACCCATGCCATCTCGTGCATTCTGCCAAACAGTTCGTCAAAGTTCCGAGTGAAGAGGAAGCCGATAACTATTAGCTCCGCCGCATTGCTCGGCTGTACCGATCAAGATTGTGTTAAATTCCTGCCTGCGCTGCTGCTGTTGCGTGCGGATCTCTTGCTGTGTATGTATGTGGATCAGCCGCTCTCGCTGGGATACTGCTGTACAAACCCTATCCGAACCACAATTACAACAGCTACAGGTGGCCAACCAGAGTCACCCCACACCTTTCGCCTCAGAAAGTGGTCCAGTCAAGCGAGTTTCCAGTCCGCGCACCGCCGAGCAGATTCCTCCACGACAATGGCAGAGCTACCCGATGGGTGGCGTTGTTGCAGAGAGACAACAAGAGGGGAGCGGTCTGCTCTTTCGCTGTTTGTCGACCCTCCCCTCTCGTCCAGACGTAGCTCACAGCAGCCCTTCTTTCGGACCGCCGAGGGGCACTGCAGAGCGTCGCCTGATGCACACCAGTTCACCTGCTCTATGGCTTGTCGCAAGCAACTGGGGGCCCCTGTTGTCTGTTCCCTCCTCGCTGATGCGTGGAGGTGTCGTCCCCGCTGATTGTGGGGGCTCCGTAGATTTGAACGGGAGTTGGTGCTTTTTTTTTATGCTGTAGTCTATGCGTATCTCTTCTCCCTGAAACTTGAAACCGATACCACACATTCGACGACCCGCGTCTGGAGGATAGTCGCGGGTTCTTCGCACCTTCGTGGGTCGAACCATCGAACAGGAAGGAATTTCAAATAAAGGCAGACCTCTTCAGGGGCAGGGCTTGCGAATTATGCACGAAATAATGCCGATGACGCCATTGTTGTTTCGTTACGGCAGTCGACCAGGAGATGACCGAAAAACAACGGGAAGTAGTGAACGCCGCAAGTGTTTTTCTCAGAGACATAGATAGGACAAGACAATTTGTGGTCATGCACAAAACACGTACGTCTGGTTCACAGATCTACATATAGTCTATATATCGAGTTCAAAGAACCATGTCTCATCCTTAGCATGCTGCTGGGCTAGCCTGTGACCACACGAAGCCTTGTACAGTCGGCATACCGCTGTAGACTACTTCCACTGCTGTAGTAGTCAAGCTACTCTGCACACCCACGCGGAAAGGAGGGATCTGTTGTTGGCACAGAGAAACCCGACGATCTCATTGAACCCCCCTCCTTTTTTTCTCCATCCCGTTCCCCCTTTCCCCCCGCCCCCGACCTCCCTCCTTCCTCTCTGCTTGCTTGTTTTCTCAAGTTCGTGCGCCTTATCCCCTTCATTGTTTTCGACAGGAAGAAAGCCAGAAACTCTACCCTCCCAGCGAACGTGGGTTGCCCCACCTTCCTCAGAAACAAGGTAAACAAATTTTTGTAACAGATTCTAAACTTCTTCAGTACGCCATTGCGGCGCAGTCCTACCGATCCATGAAAATATTTAGCAAAATAATACATTTACAATAGTTGTATTCCGAATAAAACAAAACAAACAATCCTGAATATACGTCGCATCAATATCCGGCCTGGATGTTGAGCATCCACGCGTAGCGATCAGGCAGACAGCCTACGACGAGCCCCAGGAGCGTCTCACCCTGCAAGGACAGGTTCAATGCTGTAATTACAAGATAAACGCTTCGGTGCCTAGAAAAGACGAGTGCCTATAGGAGATACTCAGTCAGGCTTTACGCTGTAGTCAAGGGCACGCACGACCAGGCGATGGGTTCAAAAACAAGGCCGACGACAACCCTGAAAATACGCCTCTACCAAAACCTTTTCAGAACATGATGTACAAGTTGAAACAAAGCATGCACCTAAAACAGGCTGATTCAACAATAGTCTAAACACCCAAGGAACAAGGAATAGATACGCATATCGAGAAGCGACACTGAAGATCAACAAACTTGGGCCGAATATGCGTGTTTCTTCGTACAGCGACATGTATTTGTCTATCGAATCAATACTATATATTTTTCGTTGTACAGCTCAGAGCGTGGTGGCGCACGATTCTTTAACGTTCAAGTCTTTTCATACAGTCAAGCAGCCATGACTCCAACTGTATGAAAACATGTTTCTCGTGGAACTTTACGGCGTTCGCGACTATGTGCAAGCAACACACCAAACGCTTTCGCCATGATTCCAACTGTAGACGGCTCGATTTTCACTTTGCCACGGACCAGAAACATTGTGCAAATAGAGTAAACAGAGCTATAAACAAAAATGCATACCTACCTATTGACACATGCACATTCAGCCACCACAGTCCACTGGCCAACGGACGACCTAAAGGGGACTCCAATGTTTCCGCAAGGATGACGGCGCTTGCCTGCTGAGCTATCCCCAGCCTTGAGAAGGGATGGCAGGAAGCTTGCACACCAATCCACATTTGCCCGGCCCTCTCATACGTACTAAACAGGAAGAAAAAACGATCAAAACCAATACTGGCCATCACCACACAGGCACACACATATCATGTGACGCCCCCCCCCGCCCCCCCTCCTGGAAGGATACTTCCCACTGTTCAGGATGTGCTGCCACGTTGCACAATCGCGAACATGCTATTCGTTTCTGTCGATCATGTAATACGCTAGCCTGGTGTCCGCGGTTTCGCGTTTTGTCGTATCAGCCCTTGAGTACCCGTTTCCCAATCCTCAAATACGAAACCGCACGACGTCTGGATCCGCCGGTTGTACAAAAGAACCAAAGCGCCCTTCAACAATAATCCCCCAGTTTTGAAGCACGCCTCATTGCGCTAAACAGAGATGTTCAAGAACAGGTTCTATTAGCACGACCTCATATGTAGCCTGTACAGCGCATCATGCCCTACCGAAAGGCGACCATCCCCACCGGCGCCGTCAAAATCGAAATATAGACGAAACCAGGATAGCCAATGGACCTCATTGTCCTTTCAATACCTACAACATTTTCTCATTGGTTCACTCTCTTGCGTGTGAAATCCGCTGTACTTACACCATGCCGCACTGTCGGTAGAAATAAAATTTGGTCCCTGGGCCGTGTTTGTTCAAGGGTCGTTCCGTTCCCAGTCCTTCGTCTGCTGATCTCCTGTCGCGATTTCTCAGCAAGCCTCACAATTACCAGAGCGGATCGTTGTGCCTCTCCTCCCCAGTCTGAAAGACAGCCAAAACCGGGGGGGAGTGGGTGGGCGCGATGGGGAAGAGGGGGTATATGCACGGATAGCAATATGATTGGGGTCACTCTGTAAAAATATTGTCGGGTGGATCGTTATTGTGAGTTGTTGTTCTTGAAAGATGTTGTTGATGTTACCATCTTCGTTTTTTATTGCGCTGCCTGCACATCAAAAACCGCTCCTGTACTCAGAGGTACCCTCTAACATCAGTACTGATACGACTTCCGTGGCCACGGGCCAACTTCCTCAAAACGGACCCAGAAAAATCATTGCAAACGAGGTGGATAAGATTCGCCATAGATTTGTGGTGCAACACCCGAACGTCTGGGCGAGGCCAGGGGAGCGGAACACCTTCGATCGAGCCCCACCAACTTTGCCCGGATCACTCGAGGTACCGCCTGGGGTAGATACAAACAACCAGTCAACCACTGAGGCGCGAAGTCGGACTCAATCCTAATACTGGGGGGGAAAAGTACATCCGCCCTACACAGAACAAGTGAACGCGTTGTGTCAGGGGGATCCACGGCAAATAGCACGCCGACGAAGCAGGCACAAGCACGTCCAAGCCCGAAGAGGTTAACATCTTCACGTATACCATACAATAGCGCGAGCATTCGACCGAGAGACGAGACCACTCACGCCGCGGTGGCGCCAGTGCTTCTCTCCGGTCACCGGGTGGTAGATCTCTTCCCACGGTTGGGGCTGCATATCCGATTCGTCGTTCGAGGGCGACGTGGTTTTCGGCGTCGATTCCGAAGGGCAGCAAGAGGAGACAGGGAGGGATCAGGAGCGGTAAACGGAACGAAAAACAATTACTACCACAAGGGACTTTTGGCGCTCGGGACCAAGCGGTGGACTTAGACGAAAAAACGGGACCAAGATTGGTCAAGGGAAACACGAATATCGTTGAAGACCGCCTCTGATGATGTGAACGCGGTGTGTAGTAGACTCACAAACCAGGTCGCGGGGGGCGGCCCTTGCTGCTCCTCGTTGTCCTTCTTGCTACCCTTGCCCTTGCCCTTGTCGACTTTTGCGGATGACTTTTCCTCATTCTTGTCGACGAGTATCGGCGCGAAAGAGGCAGGGACGAGTTCCCGGTACTGTGCGGTCGGGTAGGATCCCCATGGGCCGAAGAAGAGATCGCGGGTGCACTCTCCTGTGTGGTTGTTGCGCCTGTATGTCCAACAATGCAAAGAAAGGAAGCAGGACAACGAATATGGACCACAATATCCGAGGAAACAGCCAAGAGAGAGCGAAAACCAGGATAAACATGATGCGACGCGGCTTTAAGCGTGGTAGGTATTGGCAGACATCCTTGAGGAGAGAATTCGACAACCGTCACCAGTGTTGATGATTCTTTGTCGTGTGTGGAAGTGGGGCCGAATGTGCCATCGTGACCATCGGACTGTGGCGGGTTGAACAGGGTTGAACAGATACAATACACAGAAGCGAGGAAAATAATGAGTGAAATACACTATCTCTACTTGAGGTTGAGGAAGCAGTAGGGAAAATGGCGAACAGAAAGGCCGTCGAGCCGGACGACCTACCGGCTGAGCTGATCAAGCTGTTCCTGGATGGAGACCGAGGCTTCCTCCGCGAATTCCACGCCATCGTCGTGGACGTGTGGCAGACGGGGAACGTACCGCAGCAGTGGAAGGACGCCACCATCAAGGTTCTGTTCAAGAAGGGGGACACGATGGAGTGCGGCAACTACCGGGGCATCTCGCTCGTCGCACACGCCGGCAAGGTGCTGCTTAAGGTCGTCGCTACACGCCTGAGCCACTACTGCGAGCGAGAGGGCATCCTCCCGGAGGAGCAGAGCGGTTTCCGCCCACACCGGTCGACGCTCGACATGCTGTTCGCCATCCAGCGGCTCCATGAGCTCGCGAGGAAGAAGAGTACTGCGGTGTTCGCGTGCTTCGTCGACCTCGCCAAGGCATACGATTCGGTGGACCGAGACCTACTGTGCGACGTGCTCCGACGCTTCGGCGTGCCCCCGAAGATGCTGGCAGCCATTCGCCACTTCCACGAGGGCCTGAGGGCGCGCGTCCGAACGGACGACGGGCAGCACGCGGAGTGGTTCGATGCGGGCCAAGGCCTCCGACAGGGATGAAACCTGGCCCCGCTGCTGTTCAATTTGTTCTTTGCCGCGATGCTCATGGTCGCCGTGGCCGAGTTCGAAAAGGACCCCAACGTGACGGCGGACATGGTCAAGATCGGGGCACAAGTGGAGTACACGGGCAGAAGGGCAGGTCGGCGGGGAAGAAGACGACGGTGGTGACGGACGCGGAGGCCTTGTGGGCCATGCTCTACGCTGACGACGCGGCCATCGTCTCGATCTCGGCGGAGAGTCTCGAGAAGATGATGTCGGTCATCGTGCGCGTGGCCGGCCTGTTCGGACTGATGGTGTCGGAGCCAAAGACGGAGATCATGTGCATGCTGCCAAAAGGGATCGAGGAACGCCCGTTCACGGTCAGCGCCGCCGGCCAGACGTACAAGCATACAGATCGGTTTGGGTACCTCGGACGTACCATGTTCGCGGACGGGAAGGCCGACCGGGAGATCACGAGCCGCTGCTGCCGAGCGTGGAAGTGCTACCGCCGGAACAGTGCTTCGATGTACGACAGGCGACGGGCCGACCGCCAGCTCAAGATCCGGCTTCTCCAGGCTGAAGTGGTGGAGACTCTCCTGTATGGGTGCGCCTCGTGGAGCCTAACAGCGGAGCACTACACGAAGCTCAATGGGACCCACCGCCAGTTCCTCACACGGTGCATCGGCTGGAGCAAGCGGAAACGCTCAGACCGCCCCCTGTCCTATGCCCAGGCCCTCATCCAGGCAGGCTGCGAGGAAACCATCGAGGCCACCGTGCGCAAACGGAGACTGTGTTTCGCGGGCAATATTATGCGCATGGAGGACAGCCGCCTCCCTAAGCGCATGCTGTTAGGAGCGATGGCGGGGGGCGTGGGATACCGGGGCGGGCAGGAGAGCGACTGGGTGTCTCGTCTAGGAGAGGACCTCGTGGCCTTCAACATGGGAGACGAAAAGGAAGGGGGGAAATGGAAAGAGAGCGCCAAGGACCCGGAGGTGTGGTACAACAAGGTCGAGGACGGGGCGGCATGGCTCATGAGGAAATGGCACAGGCAGGAGGCGGAAGCGTCCGCGAAGCGCCAGCGCGCGAGGGAAGCAGAAGCAGAGAGTACGGCCATCTCAGGACCGAAGAGAAAGAGAGTCGGGGAAGCGGCGGTGGGGGGGAAGAAACGGCGACCGGGCACTGCCGTAGAAGCGAGTAGGGCGACCGAGGCAGCACTTGTGGCGAACTATGTACCCGACTGATGTTGTTGCGCCCTGTTTCCCTCCCTGCTGAATGCAATACTCCTTTATGCACGTCCTTTGTACTACCTTCGGCCTCTGTGCTGTGTTTCTTTTTTTTCATGTCCTCCCTGCCTACTCTGCTGTGTTCGGTACCTGATCTCGCTTTTGCTGTTGCATTTGCTTTTTGTACATCTGGCTGTCTGCCCACCTGCCGCCTTTTTGTCCTGTTTGCTCCGATACTCCCATGCCCTGGTGCGTAGTGCCTGGTGCTGGTACGTTACCCTGTGATTTTTTCTTTTGGCGGGTGTGGGAGGCGTCCTCCTTTATTTTTGTTTTTGTTTTTTTTGATCGGTATCCGAGGGCTCTCTTCTCGAACGGTCGGTGCGGTACCTGTTCTTCGAGTGGTTTGTACCCTATTTTTGTTTTGTTTCCCCGCGGCGTCGTATGTGCCGGGTTTTGAGACCACAGGCTCCCCATTTTTTGTGGACTATATAGCTAATGTGAGAAACAACAAAACCAACAACAACAACATTTGAAAGTTTCGCTCGCAAGGCTACAGAAATACAATGTCACCGAAAGAGTGGGTGTGGTGGAAAATATCGGTCTGTGTACAAACTGGAGGTCATGCATCTTTCACCGGACGGAAGGGGTCCCGCGTAGACCTCCCGGGTGAGGACGACGTGACTGTGCGTGCTCACCAGAACATGTAGCCTTGTTTGTGCAGGTGCTGGACCCACGAGCCGGCCGGAACGTTGTTGTCGTCCGCGAAGCCCTTGTTACTGCTGCCCTTGCCGTTTTTCTTCGTCTTCTTGTCGCCACTCATCTTGTCACTCTCGTCACTCTTGGTGCCGTTGTCGTTGTCGTTTATGCTATTTTTTTGGCCGCTGATGTTGCTGTATGGTTTGTTGCTGCCGTCGCCGCTACTGCTGCTGCCGATTCTGCCCTTAAGTTTCTCGCTTTTCTCGCCACCACCCATTCTATGCGTGTGTCGGAAGGTTCCCGGGTAGTCACCTGCACGGATTGGGGTCGCCAAGAGGTGGTTGGAACGGGTCTGGGTTGTAAATGAGAAATATTTCACGACCTCCATCGGATATGAAGCCCAGCTTTAAAAGACTGCTCCGACACCTGGTCTGTCGACTCGGTTGGGTCAGAGGGGTCATCTCCTTCACCAAAGAAGTTAGCCATGACCGGTTTCGCTACTTTGTTTGGTTACATGGGTAGCCCCTCAAACCAAGCAAAACCCTTCCCTTCTCCGGGTAGTATTATAGTCCCCTTTGCCATACGTTGCTACTGCGAATAAGGAAAGGTGTGAATGTATTAGAGAAAATGACAATGTCTTACTCAGTGCACAAATTGTCTGATGCGGAAGGAAGAACTTGCGTATGCTGGGACTCGATCCCTGACCCCCTGCTGTCAGGTTGGACGGGCTAGCCGATAAATAGACAAAAATACAGGGTACATAGCCAGCGTATTTCATACCAAATTGGTCTCCTACTGCAGGGCGTAGCCTCTCCACCCTGACAGACTCAGCCTCGTGTTAGCAGAAGCTCCAAAGTCCCAAAGGGTCCAGCGTGGATCTTGTAGAGAAGTCAAACGGCGCAGAGGGAACAACATTTGCGGCAGTCACAACTGCTGTACAGCAGTAGTCTAGTGCTCAAAAACGGTGTCCGACACATGAACGTAGCGCAACAATGAAACAGAAGGCACAAAAGTCATACTGTAGAGTTAGGCGCGCGACCGAGATGGGGGAAGCATGCCGTATGAATCCAGAGTCGGGAGACATGAGGGCACATGGAGGGTTAGCGTGATGCAGCACCTCCACCTCCGCGAATCTGTCTAAATCAATGTTTAGCACCGTAACCTATCCGCCCGTGACGGGCAAATACCGGAAAAAATGAATACACAACGTAGTCCGTGCAGGGAAAGGGGTCTCTGAGAGCGGAGGAAGCACTTCCGTAGGGTAGCGGGGGCAGCAGGTGGAGGCTACTGCATATGCATGCATTGGCATCGGAAACTACGGACACACATGATGTAACACCGAACACCGAGAGGGACGGGGTCTGCATTGTGCCACTGCATACTGAAGTGAGGACGGCACGGAAACACAAAAAAAGCGGGTGATTTTCTTCGCTCCATCTCGTGCGTGCTAGTCTATGTATACAGCAGCATTCCGGTCGGCAGGGTTGGAGACTCTGCTTACAGCACGTTCATGAGATCTCTACTGCAAGCGCTGGACGCTGTTTTCGCGGGTACCCCCTTCTGTGTGCATCTGCTGCATCGGCTGCTGACCCAACCCACCCGACATCTCAAACATACTCTCATTCTACTCCCGGTCATGTTGCCGAGAGCGACCCGGATATACTTTCTGTGGATCCCAATGTCAGCTTTCGCCCTCCCCCGTCTCTGTTCCTCTTACTTTCCCTGCCACTCACCGGCCGTCGTGGGTTCCTTGTTCGATCTGCGGCGCTTTGTCCGACTTGGAAGTTAGGTGCTACTGCTGTACTTCGCTGCCGAAAAAGAGTGGGAGTGAACAGACCGGCCGCCGGTTGAACCCACTGCAGCGGGTGGTTGGTGCGGTTGTCCACTGCAGGTCTGGGATCGCAGGTGAAGAGGATCAGGAAAATCGACCGCCTACCCTCCACAGCGCTCGATTGCTGCCCGACCCTGCGGTTGCTCTCTCTTCCGTCTTTCACCGCCGCGCCCTTCTCTTTGAGATGTGTAGCGTAGCTGCCACAAAGACAGCAATTCATTGGGTGTGTTGAGGCAAAAGAAGACGGTGGGAGGACGATCTTGCGGGGCAACTTCGACCCACTTGTCAACCGACGCAGATCTGCACTCCTCATGTATGGCCATGCGCGAATACAATACTGTCCTCTCGGGTCCTTTGAAATGTTTCCGTGCGATTGTTCTAGGGTATGGTGGACCTCACAGACGGGTGGGGTGGCCAATCCTTCCCGATAAAAAAAATACAAAAGCTGTTGCGTCGCTATCGAGGAAAAAATATGCTCGAGATGACGGAAAACTCGATGTGGTGGTACTTTGACAAGAAAACAGGCTCTCACGCTTTATGCCTACCGCCAACCTCCCACTGTGTTCGGAGCAGCCGGCATTCGGATCCCTGCCGTGGTACCACATAGTCTACATACATATGATGCATACGGCACCCTTTTTTCTCCCTGGTCGAGGCGAAATGACAACCCGCATGGCTGGTACTGCCCACGAGTATATTGACCTCGCAACTGACACCACCTACCTTCTGCTGTGTATCAACTCCCAGGTGTGTACTTCGATACAACGTGTGTGTACCTTTCGTCGTGTACCAGTTAAGATCCACTACTAGATCGGGAGGTGGAATAGTTTTTTGTTGAAAAACGTACCTGCGGTAGGCTCGTGCGTTGCTACCATTGGCCCGTTTACTACACAGCAGTATTACAATAGACTGACTGTTGATTGAGGTGTTGTTGTTGTTGTTGTTGTTGTTGTCTTCACATTAAAAACCATCCCGGTCTCTCT